CTTTCCAACAGCTTTTAATCTGATGGTTATTACACAGTCCTGTACTTCTTAAAGAGTTTCTAATCAAAGCACCAAGTAACCCTAAGAATCGATCCCCTAAACTCTAACCTAGCTTTTACATTAGTTTTTAAGCAGGCTTTCCTAGTAAATAAACATTTATCAGCTGTTTACTGTTGCTGGTAAATGGGCTAAATACTTTCATAATGATAGTGATAATAATGATGTCACATTCAGTGCCGACTGTGCTCTGCACTGGCACGAGGGAGCGGTGCATTTTAACATTTAGTCCCCGCAACAGCCCTGCAGAGGAAGTGGTAGTCCCATTTTCCATACCGCCACCCTGAGGCAGAGGGAGGCGGCAAGGGGTGCCCAGGCGGTGCGTGGGGGCCCGGCCCCCGGCCCTCACTGACGGCGCAGCGCCCCCTCGCGGACGACCCGTTCCACCCTCAGTGTGATCTGTGCTCTGGCTGCTACTTTGCTCTATACAGGTGAAGAAATGGGCTCAGACGTTGTGGCTAGTGTCCCAGTTTGCTCAGGACTTGAGGAATTTCTCTGGACTTTCAGTGCCAAAACGATACATCCAAGCAAGCAGAGACAAGTTGGCCGCCCTTCTGGAAGGTTGGTGTCGTCCCTGAGGTGACATGACACTTCATGGTGATGCCGTGCTGTCTCTACTATTAGACTTGTACGTAGCTCCTGAGGATCAAGGTACACAGAGCATCCTGGACAGCCCTTTGCAATGTCACAGCATCACAATGACAGTGCTTCCTGTGTGCCAGGTACCATCCCAAATGCTTTGTGCAATGAGCTCAGTGACATTTCATTAATGAAGAGTTAAAGGAGGGAAGTTTTGGCTGAGTTAGAACAATGATAAAAAATGCACAGTTTTGCTGTCCAGAGACTGTGCTGTCTTCCCACGTCACTAAATGGAACCTTTGCTGAGCTTACATCAACTAAGGAGTAAAAATTCCATTTACAAGGTATTGCCAGAATACTTATTTTAGCTTTGAAACTTAAGCTGAATTTTATTCTCTTATTGGTTATTATAATTTTAATGTTCTCAAGCCAGTTTCCTTTTCAGAGGCGGTGAGAAAAAATACCTAAACACGACACATTCCTTAATATGAAGCTTTACTTTGTAGCAAACTTACTAACTTAGGCTTCTAGGATTTAGATTTCTGTTATGTGGTTATTAAATCTCAGCTTAGAATTTTCCTAATTTTCAATAATTTGTTCTAATTACTACTTAGTCTTTAAAAATAACTACATGTTTTAAAATAATTTTAGCAATAAAGATGTTATACAGGAAACTCCTCTCATGTTCAGTGACTGCCGTTAAACATAGCACTAACAGCAGGCCCAGAACTTACTTGCAGGCTCTAAATTCAGAAGTGTCTTAATTTGTGATCCACGATCCATCTCAGTAAAAAGTGTAAACGTTAGTGAAAGTTTAAGTCTACATTTCATTACCAGATTTTTCATAGTATACAGCTACAATGAGAATTTGCCTGCATTATCGACCTCAAAGACCTATGGTAACGACACATGAAAACAGCCTAAATTGTATGCATATTTGGGGTCTGCTATCTAGAAGGGCAACCTTATAAAATAGATTAAGATAAAAGTCTGTTCTATCTAATAGGCATCTCTGAATCCATCATGTTGTCAGGTTGAAAACAAATACTAATAGTCATTCATACAAATGATCTAGCCTGACATTTTGAGAGGAAAAAAATATATATTACTGTTAAATAGAAGCTAAGGTTAGTTTTCAGGAAGGTGATTATTTTTAAACCAAAAAACAAAAATATTTATATGCAAAGTCCTTTTCAGAAGGGAAGCTTTTCCAATTTAAAATATATTAATATTTAAATTATAAACTCAACTTCAGCAGCCACAAAGACATGTTGACTATAAATGAACTAACATTGTGTGGTCGGTCATACTTTCAAATACAAATTCAGAATTGGTTGTCATGAATGAATATATTTTTTCAGAAATTAGTTTCTTATAGTTTATAATCTATAGTATGAAAGTGTAATATAATGTTAAATCATTTACCATTTACCTAAAAGTAAACTAATGGCAATGACTAATAAATAATAGGGCTTTAGCAGTTTTTCCAGAGATGATTTTTCCACAAATGCCGGAAAGAGTTTTCAGGCAGATTTAGAGTTAAAAGTCTTCTCGTTACAAGGAAAGTGCCCTCCTAACGAGATTCATCCAGGGTTTGTTGTCTTGTGGAAGATGACTTCTGAAAACAATGGGAAATTCATCAGAGATCGTTTTAAAGAAATTATGCATTTTGCAGGGAAAGTAACTTTTGGTTATTTTTAAAAACTAATTTCGCCCAGATTTTACAGGTGCTTTCAGATAACTCCAGTGAATGTGTGCACCAGTAACTGATGCGGGGATCTCTGGAATGCCCTGGGGACGCCCTAGTCATCGGTTCGCCCGCCCTCTCTGGTCACGTGACCCAGTGCTAATGCAGGCCTGTGGGTGCTCTTCTAAAAACTTACTAGAGAATCAGTGACCTCGGCTGGAGCTGCATGTTGTCACGACGGCGGTTCTGGCGTCTTTGTTTCCTGGTCGCCATCTAGTTCTTGTTGACTTTGTTTTATTCTCAGGTGGGGCAGTGACCATCTTCATCTATCATGTTACTAATTTAGAAGCAGAATGCACGTATGACACAGTACTGTGAAATTTTCTAGCCAAATTCTAGCTATTGCCATTGTCAGTTTTTTGGCTTCCACACACCATTCCATATTAGTGGATTTGATGTGTAAAGGTAAAAATTGAGATGCTAAAAATAGATGTGTTGCTACAGAAATCTTAAACATGGTATCAGTTCAGTATTTTACAAACTAAAATGATAAACTTGGTTAATTCAGTGTGAGACCTATTCAGTAATAAATAACGTCTGAGGACGTTACCGTACCTATAAGTTCTTATCTATTTGAGTCCCACTTAGAAATAAATCCTTAAATATGTTGAGAACTGCACACTGTTGTCCAAATGAAACATACCTCATTTCTAGGATCAAAATACCCATAATACGTGAGGGACTTGGTATAATTTAAACAATACCTTCAAACTAATTTCTCAACACGTAAGAAGTTCTGTATATGAACTGTTTAACCTTATTCTACTGTGCCTGAGAACCTATGCCCAGCTCTCGTCTCTCTAGGCCAGTTTTCCCGCTTATAAACTGGCGGGGAAGAGGTGACTGCGTCTCAGTGGAACCATGCATTTTATTTCCCATGCACTGGAAATAGAGAACAGGTCTTTGCCACTTCCTGAAAGTTGCTCAGCAAGCCGCATCCTTGCTGTGACCTGCATAAGGAGAGATCAGTTGGCGTCTGTACCTTGCTCTCCCACTGCTTTATAAAGTGACTGCGAAAAAAAGGCTAGACAGGCAGATTCAAAGAGTGGAGAACACAGTATTTTTTCGAGGGTAACCATAACAGTCTTTTCGCTTTCTAACGTCAAGTCTGCCTCAACCCTGAGATGAGCATGAAAGTCTTGAAAGAACATTTCCCCTTGCAGCTGTCTGTGCACCAGGCCGCTCTGCCCACGAGGAGAAGACACCACCAGGACAATGCCAGATGATTATTTCCCTTCGATTTAAAATTTAATATTCATTTGTTTTAAAAAGCAAGCTGCTACCCACATATGGTAATGTTATATTCTTCCAATAGGGTTTCTCACCATTGAAATACTATTTGTTGCATCCAGTCCGGTGATGCATAATTTTGATTTGTCCCATTACTGATGTTCACTTTAATCACTTGATTAAGATGCTGTCTGCCTGGCTTCTCAGTGAAATGACTCTTTTCCTCTTTAATTAATAACTCTGTGGGAAGGTACTTTGAGAGTACGTAAATACCCCATTCCTCATTAAAAATAAAACACAATTTCTGTGCATACAAGATTATCAGCAAAATTATTTTATAAAAAGTTCACTGTACAGGTAATACTACTGACCTTTCTTGCTAAAGCAGTAAAGCATCTCTGGACCGAATTTCCCTGGGAATGTGCCATCTACGTTTGTCTGCCTATCGAAGCTTATATCGAATTAGATGACAGGTCCAGTCGTAGAAAGATGCTAATGAAAACACAAAGGGCAGCTTGAGACCCAGTTAAACAAGATGAGTTGCTTTAGCTATAAACACATTCCTTGTGAGTTTGTGTCAGCTTGAGTTCACTTGAATTTTTCCATTCTGAGGGATTATACACCTCAAGTTCACTGAGCCTGCCTCATTTCAATGGCTTTAATTTACAAGATGTGCAGAGTCACCACAAATCTAAAAAATCTAAAAATAATGGGTGAGACTAGAATGAGTTACTCCGACCGCAGGTGACCCCACCCTGTTGTGCGTTGTAGATGCCGCGTTTTCATCAACATCGAGGCAGACCCGCCACCAACAGAAAGATGACGACTTGCTGAGGCTCCGAAGATGGCTAGCATTTTAAATTAAGGTATGTACATTGTATTTTAAAACATAATGCTTATTGCACACTTGAAGGACTCCAGAGTAGCACAGACATAACTCTTATATGCACTGGAAACCTAAAGTGCATGTGAGTGGCTTTACTGTGACACTCGCTTTTTTGCGACACTCGCTTTTTTGCAGTGGTCCGAGGCTGAACCTGTGATCTCTTTGAAGTCTGTCCATAATGTTGGACATACGTGGCCTTCATTACCGTGTCACATACATGGAACCACATGCACTTGCCATTAATGCTAGACCTGAATTGTTCAAACGACTCGGAGCCTCATCACCGGGGACCCCATGGGTGACTCGGTCTGTGTTCAGGTCGCTTCGGGCCCTCCAACTCTTTTGTTTTCATATTTCACTAGTTCTCACATGTGAGCTGGTGTTACATTGCTATAGACTCAAAGCATGAACCGCCCTAAAAATTTTAATTCTAACATTTGATATTCCTTGCCAAGTGCTAATTATAAAACTACCACCTGAAATGAGAAGGCAGTAAATAGATGAATAGATGTTTTTTTTCTGTTGCAAATTCAGTTGGCATCTGAATAATCGGATAGTTAGTTAAAAATCTAAGTATCTTGCTGATTTAAATATCTGACTATATCGTAGTGTGTGAATCGCAGCAATGTTTAGGATGTAACCCAAACACCGTGTCTAATGTGCCCACAAACTCATCAACGGGAGTTAGGTCTTCGACTCATGTCTAAAGCTTTGGGCTATAATAAAGCAATCTTTGTTCGGGATTAACTAACGTTGTGCATTGAATTTATGAATAGAATTTTAGAAAAAGTTTTTAATGAAAAAAGCATTGGTTATTAATTTAGTAATTTGTATAGCAAAACTATTTTCACATGGAATGCTTATGTTTTTAAGTTGATAGAAGTTGCTTAATAGAAGCGACCATTAACAAAGTGGTTAACTTACTGTTTTTGCTGTCCCCGTTAATGCCATTAGCAAAACCTGAAAGGGGTCCTGGAGCCGCTGGCAAAGGTGCTTCCTCGGGTGAAGTGCACGAGTTCCAAACGTCTTCATCGTGTGCAGGTGCCGTGCTAGGGACGTGACAGTGGAGGGCGCCGTTAATTCGCGCAGCTGCAGATGGACACAAAGAACATCCAAACATCTCCCCATGCAGCCCTTCCTTCCCTGCGTCCCTCCCCGCTGCCTCCCTCCCTCCCTCCCTCGTCCTGACGACCGAGTGTCAGCAGAGGGAGCCCGGGAGCAGCCAGTCAGGGGAGCGACCGCAGTGCACCTGTGCCTGGGCACCTGGCTGGGTCAGAACCCGACCTCCCTGGGCTCGTCCTTCGGCTCCTTACAGGGGTGGGGTGGGGGAGCATCAGCACTAGGGGCGCCCGCTCGGCCGGATGGACTGGCCTGCGGTGCCGCCACGGCCAAAGGCAGGTCCAAAGCGGAGGGACGGACTCGTTTCCTGGCCCAGGCGCCCTTGTCATGAGTGAAGTCCTTAAACGGCTTCAGCCGCGGTGACCAGCGACCTTGGCGGGGGACGAGCGAGGCGGCGGCCGAGGGGACGCAGTGCGGCAGGCGCGGCTGCTCCGGTCCCTGCGGCGCGGGTGCCGCGGGTGACGGCTTGGGGTTGGCCTTCTGTTCTCCAGCGGTGTCTTGCGACCTGGGGAAGGTGAGGTCTGTGTGGTTTTTCTAACAGGAAGTGGCATCCCTGAGGGAAACGCGGAAGGACCGTCCCCTCTGGGCGGACAGGCCCTGCGGCCACTGGGGCCCTGGGCTTCCAGAGACCAGGACCTCGCGCCGGTCCTTGGCACAGGGTGAGAGGCAGGGCCACCTAGCTCGGGAGCAGGCTGCAGCTGCAGAGGTGGCCTTGGGTCTCGCACAGGTGCCCGGCCCTCTGCCAACAAAGCCCCAGCTTTGTTTGGGTGACCCGTCCTCCTATGACTGGGAAAGTGGACTTCGTGTCCACTTCCCGGGCCCACTGCCCTGGGGAGTGCTGGAGGGATGCCTGTGCCCTGGACGTCACCCCACCTTACACTTGTGCGGGCAAAGCTGGTCTCTTCTTATGCCTTATTCTGCTTGATGAGCACCCTAAACTGGGATTAGTAGGGTGCTGGGGACCCCGAGCCTGCATCGCCATCTGCTGGCTTGTTTAATGCCTTCATGTTCTTTGATCTTAATTTGTGCCTGAATCTAAATGTAGTCTGAGAATGTTCAGGTGGTACCAGTGCAGGGCTGGGGAACGGCTTCGCACGGCTCGTGTGCAAGGCTCGTGTGCACATGCGCATGGCTCAAGTGCACGGCCCAGCAGCTCCCTGCCCCACGCTGCAAGCCACGTGGATGGCGTTTCGTGCGCACTGAGCCTCCCCACTGTGGGCGAAGCCCTTCCTGTTCCCGAAGCAGCAGGACATCCCTGGCTGAGGTCCTGGGACACGTGTGAAGAGGGGCGCGGACCGGGGCAGAAGCCGCGAACCCTCCAGGAGCCGGTCGAGAGGCAGGTCAGCAGGCCCGAGCCGCCGTTTCAGGAGGGCGCTTGGTTCTCGTCTGAGGACCGTGTCACAGGAAACTATAGTGCTCGGCCAGGAACCTTTGCCTCACTACCCTGAGTGAGGCGACAGCCATTCCTGGGGAGGGGAAGGGGGCCTCCTGGGAGCCTGGCCACCGGCCGCGGGGTTGGGGGAGGAGCGAGGCGAATGTGGGCAAGAGGGTGGCAAGCTGGTCACCGGTGGGGGGACAAGGCTTCCTGCCCCGGTCGCCGCTGCAGTGGCGTTGGTTCTCTGGGACACTCAGACACGAGCGTCATGACCGAGAAAGTGAAGACAGGCACTGAAACCACAGGTTTTCTTTCCGTGGGCCCCTGTCCCACGGCAGGGAACGGTCCCTTCAGCATTCGCGGAGGGCCACTCGAGTGACCCTCTGCATAGGAACAGCCCTTCCCTTCATGCCTTGGAGTCACTTGTGCTGGACGACAAGTCCCGTGCCCATCATCGTAGAGACAGGAGGTTGCCGCTCAATCCAGAGTGATTCCGAGTAGCGCGCGGCGTCTCCCCAGAGCCGTGTGGACAGACACTGCGCTCACGGAAGCAGATGGCCGGGGCGGGCAGAGGGCTGGGGGTCAGGACACAGGTGTGAATCACGGCTCTGAAAATTGTTGTGCAGCCTTGGAAATATCGGTCTGTCTTTCCTTCCTCATTTGAAAAGTAATGGTAAAGATTTATAATATCCTCCTTCCGGTTGTTTGTGTTCATAGCTGTTATCGGAAAATGACATACCACATGTTGTCCTCATCTGTTGTGATGTTTTTAAAGCGTAAGGTCATGGAAACGTGTGTGTGCTCACACTGAGCAGTTACTGGCTGAACTCTGGACAAAGAGAACAAAACGACCTCTGAATAAAGGGCTTTGCTGGCATAGGGGACAAAATACATAAAACCAAATGGCAGCCTGATGACACCCAGAATGACCCGCTTCTCTCGAGGGCCTCGGAGGCGGTTCTGTGGAAGCCGCCTGGGTTCTGAGCCTCTCACCTGCAGGCGGGCTTCAGATGAGGTGCCCGCAGACTCTGCGGCTTGGTCTGGAGCAGCAAGACAGACCGTCGCCACCACGGCCAGGGGCGCCGCAGTCCTGTTTAATGGATCATTTGAAATGTGTTATGAAGGGGCTCGTCCTAGCACAAGGGAGCTCAGGCCACCAAATGTGTTTACTTTCAAAGCTCTCTGGAGTGTGGAGAATACACTTGTTTCCTGGGCTGGGAGACCAGCCTGAGTCAGTCTGTTTGCTTTTCATTAACATAAGAGCCATGCCTTTCCTTGGACACGTGGTTCAGTAATGAAAAGTTCTCAGTGCCCAAAAGTTCTCTTTTATGAAGAAAAAGTGGAAGAAAACAAGATAAGTGAGGAAAGATAAGAGGGAAAATCCGTTTGTATGTGGACTTGCATCGCCTCAGGGATAAGTCGCTGAGGAGGTCAGTGTCAGAGGCAGGGCGCGCTGGGCACAAGCCACGGTTCCCAGAACAGCACCTGCACACTGGGAACCTCCGCCGGCCACTGGTGCTGTTACGGCCTCAACGCCCGCACCTACCAGACTAGAGGAAAACCCTACGTGTCAGAGGCACAGCCTGTAACTCCCCCGGCAACAATTCAAGGGGACGAGCCAGAGGTTCTGAGTGCGGTGCCTGGACCAGCAGCTTCCGCAGCGGCTGGGAACTTCTTGGGGACAAAGATGCTCAAGCTCCATCCTGAGTTTCTGAGCCGCAGCTCCGGGGCGGCCGGACACTGGCTGGTTCGCACAGAGCGCACGGCCTGGGAGCCCGGGAAGAGATGAGCACACCCTCCAGCCTACGTGAAGTGGGGGCGCCTGGAGTGCAGAGAGCAGCTCCCTTCCCAGAAGACAGCTCAGCGTGGGAAGCTGGCGAGTCGGAGCCGGCTCACAGCAGCGGTGCAGGCTCGTCATTGGAGAACTGGCATTTGGGACCTGGTGACGACGTCAGCCCTAATTTTAAGCTGCGTAGTCAGACTGTTGTGACATTAATTTTCAGCGCTGCTACAAAACTTCAGGGTACAAACTCCTGCAATGGAGGCATTTTTGCCCACAAAATGACCTATCGTCAATCCTTGGGGCTACTTTTTCATGCAAGAATTAAAAAGGGACATTTCTTCCACATTTGGTTTATACTTGCATCATAGTTTTTAAAAAATATTTGATGGAGACGTCAAAGTAACTTAAGGGCCTTCTGTTGGAAAACTTACCTCAAATTTTAGCTAAGTTGGATTTTTAAACAGCATTTTTCAAATGCCTTTGCAACTTGCCACAAGACCCCACTTCCTGTGATCCCTTTATAAGATATGACATGACCTCACTGACTAGGGGACAGCCTCATCATCAGCTGAAAGGCTGGCTCCTCTGAGCATCACTGCCTGCTCTGGGGTTGGCAGTATGGCCACCTGCCAGCAGCCAGGGTTGTGCGCCTTGCACATGGTCAAGCGCCTGCATCTGACTGCGTCACGTGAGTTCCGTTAGAGCACGTACCCAGCGTTGGTATCTAAGTACCTGCCAGCTCATCGGACTGTGAAGATGAATGTCCACCTACTTGTCTCCCCAGCTGGACACCAGACAAGGGCACCTGTGGCTTGGTGTCATCAAGAGGACTCGGCAGGTGACGAATTCTGGCAAAGCTCCTGTCATGCTCTTCGAGGAGTTAGGGGTGCTCCCGCTGTCTCCGTGACATTTGTAACTTACTGAATGATGCTATGCAGGACATACTTAGCATCATCAGAACGATAAAGCGTTAGTGGGGATTCTGCACACCTGAGTTTATTTAGGGAGAGCTGTACAGCAAGTATTCAGAAGAGCGTTTTCTGAAGGAGGTTCTGGGCCTGACACAGCTCTCTCCCCTCACATGTGACTGTGATGTAGTGATTTAAAATGACCTACTACCTGGTCGAGTTGGGGTCCATCTCCTCGCCTGTGAAATGGACATTATACTGCTTGCCTCACGGAGACTGTGCCAGGATCAAGTGAAGAAAAGGTCCATGAGAGGGTCTTGGTACATGGGGCCAGCATCCCACACTCTAGCCGACATCGGCACTGACATTCTTTCCGTTATTTAGAACATAAATGAAAAATACCATTAAAAGCAGAGAAAATGTCTTTATTTTTTGATATATAAAACCAAGAAAACTTGTAACATGTAATATAACATTTTTAAGAAAAAATAGCAGAAGTATAGATCTGGGTAGAAAAATACACTCAAGCAGGTGTTCCAAGCAGTTCATAACTCCTAAGATTATGAACAATAGCACACAAACCTCAGAGTAAGCCTTTTTTTCTTTAAAAAAATTATTCACATTTGCTTAACAACTTAAAACGTGGTAAGAAATACAACTTTCCTTCTTGGTAACAGACCCAGGTATTCAACAAGATACTCCTTAACCAGCAATAACTTAGTAAATGGACATTTCCCTTGTGATAGTAAGTTAGTGTTAGAATTTTAGTTCTATAATACTTGCAGTAGTAAAAACTTCTTCCAACTGCTGAAGCGCCCAGCAAGATGCTGGGACAGTGCGCTGGAGCTCACGAACCCGGAAGCGTGCGGGCTCAGCCCGCAGCGAGCGTCTTTGGTCTTCCCTG